GTCGGTGAACTTAAAAAAAATAAAAAATAAAAAGTTTGTCTTTACTGAAGTACGAGAGTAGTACATAACTTGAGTACTTTAAAAATATTTTGTGGTGAGTCTGACCCACTGGGGTCGAAAAATGCAAACACATGCAACATTTTGACAGAACTTTTATGCTTAGCATAGCTTATCATGGCATAACATAGCATAACATGACATATGTTAGCATATTATGACATATTATAGCATAACATGACATGACGTATCGTAGCATTACATAACATAACACATCATATTAGAAACATATCATACACATGTACGTGTAGGAGCCATAAAACACGTGTCGTCATACATAAAACAATTATTTTACCAACTTCACATCCTACACGGGAGAAAATTTCTAAAGAATCCAAAGCATTTCCTTTAAAGTAGAATTAAAATTTCACAAACAAAAACGTCCGACTACAATTCATGAGAGGAATAATACTAAAACCCTTACCAACGTATCTACGAATACCTGAAAATTTTTTAAGACAGGTTTAATGCACTCGAAGCGTATAAACTTTCAAGACTTAGATCCTCTAAACGTATCAATAAGGTACAAAAATTTTGGAGCGGAAAAACTCGAACCTTCAACTCGTTGGTCGGAGCTATCTAAACCAATCGAGTTAAACAAGAACCTGAATCAACACAACAGCTAAATGAAATCAATAGATTTGATGCTAACAATCCTTTAAATCAAGCTCTCTCTGAGCTCAAACTTAAAATTTTCAGACTAAAAAATATAAAAAATATTGGAAAGTAGATAAAATCCAATCCAGGCAATACCAATATCCTATAAAACACATCTCTGAAGAATTTCTACTAAACTATGGAGCTCATAAGAAAAATATGCAAATCAAAAGCCTAACTCGAACAGCAGCCGCCTTTCTTTACAGCAGAAACGTCCTTACCGACGTCGATTTTCTCTCCTTTCGAAGGAACCGAAGCAGCAGCTGCGTCCTCGCCAGCCTCCATGGCTTTCTTGCTTACAATGTGATAGATTTGAGTGAGGACTTCGGCGAACGCGTTCTCGACGTTGGTTGCTTCAAGTGCAGATGTTTCCATGTAATACAGAGACTCCTTCTCAGCAAAAGATTTTCCATCCTCTGTTGAGACTGCCACCAGGTGTCGAAGATCTGATTTGTTACCAACAAGCATGACGACGATGTTGGGATCTGTATGGTCTCGTAACTCTCGTAACCACCTCTCGACGTTTTCGAAAGTGGAATGTCGTGTGACATCATAGACGAGCAGTGCACCTACAGCGCCTCGGTAGTATGCACTGGTTATTGCACGATACCTATGCCCCAAACGAGATGGTCAGTTCACGAAAAGCGTGAAGCAAGCACAACATGAAGTACTAAATCACGAGTGAAGCAAGCACAGTCACATTTGCCTCGGGATTTGTTATCTCGACGAACATAAGTTGATGTGCCTTTTCGCACATAAAAATGTTCATGATTTGAAGAATCCATGGCAGAGTACTAAACTCAGCAACAATAACGACGGAAAAGGCGCATCAACTTATGTTTGTCGAGATAACGAACAAAAGAATCAGAATCATCTTAACCATACTTGCATCACCATTCTTCAAGAACTTGGGCTCCTTCTCAAGTTCTGTGAGATCCCTCGTCACTTGGAGAGGGGAACGAAACATTCTTTATAAGGGTGTGGAAACCTCTCATCAGACGTGTTTTAAAACTTGAGGTTGACGGTGATACAGAACGGGCCAAAGAGGACAATATCTACTAGCAGTGGACTTGGGTTATTACAAATGATATCAGAGCTAGGCACCTAGCAGTGGGCCACTTAGGATACTAGACCCCGAAGGGGGTGGATTGTGAGATCCCACATCGGTTGGAGAGGGGAACGAAGCATTCTTTATAATGGTGTGGAAACATCTTCCTATTAGACGTGTTTTAAAATCATGAGGTTGACGATGATACGTTACGAGCCAAAGAGGACAATATCTACTAGCGGTGGACTTGGGTTATTACAAATGATATCAAAGCTAGGCACCGAGCGGTGGGCCACTTAGGACGTTGGGCCCTGAAGGGGGTGGATTGTGAGATCCCACATCGGTTGGAGAGGGGAATGAAGCATTCTTTATAAGGGTGTGGAAACATCTCCCTATCAAACGTGTTTTAAAACCATGAGGTTGACGACGATACATTACGAGCCAAAGAGGACAATATCTACTAGCGGTGGACTTGGGTTATTACAAATGATATCAAAGCTAGGCACCGAGCGGTGGGCCACTTAGGACGTTGGGCCCCGAAGGGGGTGGATTGTGAGATCCCACATCGGTTGGAGAGGGGAATGAAGCATTCTTTATAAGGGTGTGGAAACATCTCCCTATCAAACGTGTTTTAAAACCATGAGGTTGACGACGATACATTACGAGCCAAAGAGGACAATATCTACTAGCGGTGGATTTGGGTTATTACAAATGATATCAAAGCTAGGCACCGAGCGGTGGGCCACTTAGGACGTTGGGCCCCGAAGGGGGTGGATTGTGAGATCCCACATCGGTTGGAGAGGGGAATGAAGCATTCTTTATAAGGGTGTGGAAACATCTCCCTATCAAACGTGTTTTAAAACCATGAGGTTGACGACGATACATTACGAAGGGTGTGGAAACATCTCCCTATCAAACGTGTTTTAAAACCATGAGGTTGACGACGATACATTACGAGCCAAAGAGGACAATATCTACTAGCGGTGGATTTGGGTTATTACAAATTGACGACGATACATTACGAGCCAAAGAGGACAATATCTACTAGCGGTGGATTTGGGTTATTACAAATAATATCAAAGCTAGGCACCGAGCGGTAGGCCACTTAGGACGCTGGGCCCCGAAGGGGGTGGATTGTGAGATCTCACATCGGTTAGAGAGGACAATGAGTGCCAGCAAGGATACTGGAACCTAAAGTGGGGTGGATTGTGAGATCCTACGTCGGTTGGAGAGAAGAACAAAACATTCTCTAGCAAACGCGTTTTAAAACCGTGAGACAGACAGCGATACGTAATGGGCCAAAGCGGATAATATCTACTAGCGGTGGGCTTGGGAACTACCAAATCCGATTACAATTGTTCTAGAACACAGGGCAGTCATTTACAATTGTGAAAAGAAAATCCCACTAATGAAATGTTTCCAAAAGTCATACTAAAATCTGTCACTTCACTTCAACATTTCATACAGAATTACAGAAACGTAACCATACAAGCAACTCTAAGTAGCTTCCATTAGATCCACTAATTTTGTAAGCAACCATTGCAGTTCAATGCATAAAAAACCGATTTATTGGATGAGTAAAGACATGATTTAACTCATACAATTAAAGCTAATACAGAGACAATGCCATCAGTAAGATCATCCAAAAACCACATTAGCTGTTCATCAACAACCACATATAGCAAAATTAAGAAATACCCAGATCTTGAAAAAGCCAGAGTTCAAAGATGAGGAAATATACGAACCTTTCCTGGCCAGCAGTATCCCAAATCTGGGCCTTGACGACCTTGCTATCAACATTCAAGCTCCGAGTAGCAAACTCAACCCCAATAGTGGACTTAGATTCGAGGCTAAACTCGTTTTTGGTGAACCTGGAGAGCAAATTAGACTTACCCACACCAGAATCTCCAATTAAAACGACCTTAAAGAGATAATCATAGTCATCTTCAGCTCGGTAGCCGGCCATCGCAGTCCCCCTTCTGAAGAACAAGAAGAAGAACTTTGGTTGGATCAGATCTCTGCGAGTGTGCGCTTTTTGGGGGGTTCTTTTCTTTGTTCCTCTTGTTTCGAGACAGTGGGAGTTGGAAATGGGAGAGACCGCTGTGTTTGCCGCTGCGCTGGGCTGGACGACGATGCGTCTCCTTTTCAAATTTTGGAATTCCTATGAAATCGCTTTGGATTTTGAGCTCTACAAATTGTTGAATTGACGTCCATGTCCTTGGTCATGGACTCATTGTCAAGACTATTCTAGCTTCTTGCATTGGGTAAGTAAGGTCATTTTTGTCATTTTGCATGCCACTCATCCAAAGCATAGGGAAATAAATTTGGAATTTGTTGGTGGGAAAAAGTTTGAAGCTTTTGAGTTTTCTTTCAAGTTTGGTTTGATTTTTGGTTTCAAATTTGTGAAAACTACCATGACTTAATGGAATTTATTTCGTTCATGTGCTTGAGGAATGTGGTGGGATCATATAAAAGTAAATGAAACATTAATATAAACCTTTCAATCCAGCTATAGCTGTCGTAACTATAGTGTACTGAATCGAGATCTGTAGCTATAGCTATCGTAACTATAGTGTACTGAATCGAGATCTGTAGCTATAGAACAGTAGAGTCTCAATCATGTATGTGACAATTTAGCTACTGTAACCATGGTATATTGAATCGAGATCTATAGTTGTAGAACAATAAAGAGTCTTAGTTTTCCACTCTATGATGGAAACGTTCGTAATTCAGCTCTGAATTAAGTCTCAGTCATGTATGTGACAAGGTAGCTACTATAACTATGGTGTATTGAATTGAGATTTATACCTGTAGAACAATAAAGAGTCTTAGTTTTCCATTTCAACTCTACGATTGAGACGCTCCTAATTCAGTCTCAGCCATATATATGTGACAATCTAGCTACTGTAACTATGGTATATTAAATCCACTCTATGATTGAGACACTCCTAATTCAGCTCCTAGTTCAGTCTCGGCCATGTATGTGACAATCTAGCTAGTGTAACAACTATATTATATTGAATCGAGATCTATAACTATACAAATTACAAGAATAAGGAATCTGGTCGTCTACTAAGTTCGAGACACCCCTAATCAAGTGTTAAGTCATATACGTGACAATCTCTTTGTGGGTATGTTTTATCAGAGAAAAACCACAAAATCACTTCAAATCTATAGAAAGTAGTTACTAGAAGGCATGCAGTCTTGTCGAACCTATCTCGTCCAAGATTATCAACTCATCGACAACGATTTCACAGACGAGTTGCTATTGTAAACAATGCAAAACAGATTCCAAATGGCCACAATAGCTAACTAAGTAATGATAATCCTGATATACAGAAGTGGCTGTGAATGCATAGAAAGTAATAAGGCTGTTACAGACAAAGTTACAGACAAGATCTTCCATTTAAAAGCCCCTACCAAATTTGGTGTACCAAAAATGAACTCTACCTCCTCTCTATAATACATGTTTCAAACAGGAGCAGGGCTTTTCTCAAGGAGTTCTTTCCCAGTAATACCATCCTTCAAGGTTTTGAAGTAAATATTGTAGTCCTTTTCCGGGGGGGGATTCTCAGGGTCCACACTGAATGGCTCACTAAATGGAATCACACTTTTAACCTGCAAATGAATAAGAACATCGCTAAAAACTTGAATGCTAACTACAATGGATCAGCTATATGATCAAAATCCCAGGTTCAATACGCTGTCTTTCAGAAAAGAGAGAGATTCTTACCCCTAATGCACTGGCATTGGCCGTTTTCTTCCTTTTTTCGGTTCGCTTAGGGGCTGAAGGGAGGGGGGACTCGATCTTTTGGACTTTTGTTATTTTGTTTGGACTCGGTCCCAAACGATCTTAAGACGTGCTAATGAAAAATAATGGGTGAAAATGTGATTTATTGTTCTATTATGGTCAATGAAATTAGTGGCATCAGGAATTTTTTCTACGTATGAAGAACAAACAAGTCAATGGACCTGTATTTTAATTCTATAGCTAGAACCATTGTTAGGAACCACGAACGTTCACAATGGTATGATATTGTCCACTTTGAGCATAAGCTCTTATGGCTTTGCTTTTGGTTTTTCAAAAGGCCTCCTACTAGTGGAGATGTATTCCTTACTTATAAACCCATGATCGTTCCTTTAATTAGCTAATGTGGCACTCCCTCCCAACAATCCTCAACAACCATAACACCCGGGACGGGAAGAATAAAGGGACATTAGACAGATCATGAAGGGATTAAATGGAGAGTAGGATTGTTTTATCACTCGAGAGTAAAATAAAGTAGAGAGGGAGGGATGGAGGGAGGGTATTACCTCGAATGTTTTGTCACACGTATACGGACTTTCCAAAGCAGCGATGCAAATACGAGCAACCTCTTCCCTCGATATCTTTCCCTGCACGAAAAGAAAAGAATACTCTCATAAGAAATCAATGACAGTATCTCTAAACTCTAGGCATTGTTTATTTGCTGTTGTGATACCGTTATATTATCTCCTTGATCGAAAATGAGATCGGCACCAGCGGGCTCCTCGGTTAACGCACAAGGTCTTACAATTGCATAAGGAATTCCACTTTCTCGAATTAAGTCCTCTCCCTGTAGAGGAAATGGCCAATATTGAAATGAAACTAAACATAAAAACTAAAAAGTAGCTGAAACTAATGTGTGGAAGATTGTATGAATAGAGTTGGTCTTAAACCTTCAATTTGAATGTAAGAATAAAATCCAATTCTTTATTCAATCGGACGGCAGGAGGTTGCTTGCTGAGATCGAGCCCTGGCCTATCAGGTCGTGTGACTCCAGCAGAACTCACATGCACAAACCTAAAGTAGACGAACAGATAGACGAACCGTGTAAGAGAATCGGAAAAGATCGAAATCAGCTTAGTAGTTCTAAAAGATGGCATTTTGGTAAACCTGGGAGTTATGGGATCTTTAATATAAGCCCTTATACTTGATAATGGAAGCTGAAATGCACCTTCTACAAAAGTTGGGTTGAGTTTCCCATCATACTCAAACTTGCTAAACATGAGCTGCATATGACTATCAGTGCATCAGAAGTGCGTGTGAAAAATATTATGAGAATGAGAATGAACTAGGAGAAAAGTAGGGTGAGGATTCGGCTAATTAAGCAGTTAATCATGAGATTATAAGTAAGGAATACATCTTCATTGGTACGAGACCTTTTGGTAAAACAAAAAACAAATTCATGAGAACTTATGCTCAAAGTGGACAATATCATACCATTGTGGAGAGTCGTGATTCCTACCATGGTATTAGAGTCAGGCCCTTAACTTAGCCATGTCAATAGTATCCTCAAGTGTCGAACAAAGAAGTAGTGAACCTCGAAAGTGTAGTCAAAAGTGACTCAAAGTGTCGAACAAAGGGTGTATTTTATTCAGGGCTCCATAGGCCTCAGGGGAGGCTCTATAGTGTACTTTGTTCGAGGGGAGGATTGTTGAGGATTGTTGGAAGAGGAGTCACATCGACTAATTAAGCGGTTAATCATGAGATTATATGTAAGAAATACATCTTCATTGGTATGAGGCCTTTTGGGAAAACCAAAAACAAATCCACGAGAGCTTATGCTCAAAGTGGACGATATCATACCATTGTAGAGAGTCGTGATTCCTAACAAAGTAATCTTACCTGCAGTGACACAATATTTGTAGGGTCAAAAGGTGGGGCATCTACAACAGTTCGAGCTCGAAATATTGGCCTCAAAGAAGAAAATGGCACACGAACCTGAGGAAACGGGAAATATAACCAGTCATTGGTAGTTCGATTGTTAGTAAAAGAAAAGCCCCAATCAAGGTCAAATGGTGTTACTCACAGACTGCCATTGGCCTTTGACAGTGTCGAAGCCGGCTGTATAACCAATAGTATCCCAATCAGTGCTGGTGCGCACGATCAGTTTATACCGACGGCCATCGCCTTTGAGACGCAATTCCAATCCATCATAAGCAGAAAGATCTTCTGGTACAGAAAAGTTCTGTATAAATACAAAAAATGGAATAGCTATGACATTAGATAGGGGAATGAAAGGGAGCAACCACCTTAATTCAAAAGACTCGGAGAAGATCAAGGATCAGAAATGGCTCATTTGAAGGACAAGCTTATGAGGAAGAACAGTACATTTCATTCATAATAAGCTTAAAAATAAAATGAATGGTAAAAAAGTTCTGTAAGACAAGATTTTGTCACCAATCCCTGACTTTTATAGAGTTATTTCAATTGTTTTCATAATCCTAACTTAGGAATGACCGTCGAGCATTCGGTACAGAAGAGGCGACTGCATTAGTTTTAGATATCTGAGAATGTAAAGCACGGACGAAGAAAATATTCAAAATATGTAAATTACCCGCGTCCGAACACTAGTAAAGCCACCATTGTTTGCAGTTGAAAGAACACCTAAAGCATATGCATCCAAAGTTAGATTCATGATCATAATGTGTTCATTCTATTAACAGTGAGGTAATCTTGGACTTGTACACTGTCTAAAGGCTTAATGGAAGAAACCTTTAAAAACTCCAGTTGGTCCACCATTTTCGCCACCTTTGAAGTCAATTTGAAATGAACTTTCACTCACTCCACCCATTACAACGTCATCTAAAGCACCCCAAGGAATTTCTTTGAGATTATTGCCTGCGAATTACAAAAAGAAAGCTCGATTACTCGTGGAACATGTTTCTTGCATTCGGTACATGATACACATGCATTCGTCATTGTTGCTAAAATCATCGTATTGGGTAACTCACTTTTTTCTTTCCCTCAGTACTAGTAATCTTCGAATTTTTAATCCCATACGTATCGTAATAAAGAATTGTAACAGCCTAAGCTCACTGCTAACAGATATTGTCCTCTTTGGCTTTCCCTTCCAGGCTTCCCCTCAAGGCTTTAAAACGCATCCACTAGGGAGAAGTTTCCACACCCTTATAAGAAATGCTTTGTTCCCCTCTCCAACCGATGTGGGATCTCACAATCCACCCCCCTTGAGAGCCCAGCGTCCTCGCTAGCACACCGACAATGTCTGGCTCTGATACCATTTGTAACAGCCTAACCCCACCGCTAGCAGATATTGTCCTCTTTGGCTTTCCCTTCCAGGCTTCCCCTCAAGGCTTTAAAACGCATCCACTAGGGAGAAGTTTCCACACCCTTATAAGAAATGCTCCGTTCCCCTCTCCAACCGATGTGGGATCTCACAATCCACCCCCCTTGAGAGCCCAGCGTCCTCGCTAGCACACCGACAATGTCTGGCTCTAATACCATTTGTAACAGCCTAACCCCACCGCTAGCAGATATTGTCCTCTTTGGGCTTTCCCTTCCGGGCTTCCCCTCAAGGTTTTAAAACATGTCCATAGGGAGAGGTTTCCACCCTTATAAGGAATGTTTCGTTCCCCTCTCCAACCGATGTGGGATCTCACAAGAATCTAAGTGCCACACAGAAGCAAAGGAAAAGGAAAAAAATCACCAAAAACTCAATAAAATAGTACCTTCAAATCCAAAAAGTAACTTCCCATCTCGGAGTCCAACGCTAGCTTTCACAGCATTGATCAAATTTTGCATTCCAATAAACTCCACCAATTCTGGTGAATCACCTTTGATCTGCATTAGTCCACCATTAAATAATCTTGCCAGTAAGTATCATTTCTTACATTGGCTAGAACACATGATCAAGTAAACTAAAATTTTGTTCAACTCCCGAAACAAATTCAAATCTGACTCGGACATTTAGTTCATCACCTCGGGTTCAAAGAACTTGACTCCCTGCACCATATCAAAGATTGAATCAGAAAGCCGTCGGAAGGCGAGTATACAGATTAAACCAGAAGTTTGTGAAGTTGACAAAATGGTGAGCTACTTCAAAATATTAATACAACTACCGCATAGTCAGCCATATACATACTTGGCTATACTTTGCTCTGTCTGGAGTGTCTCCTTCCTTTGGCCCAACAATGACGGAGACAGCATTAATAACTTTCCTCACTCCCTTAAAGTTATGAGGTGCCAAAGTGCTCCCCTTTGTAACATCCCCAACAATCTAACATTCCAAGGGAAGGAAAATAATTTAAAGAATGAACCAACCAGAAGCAGAATGTGATTTCTTAATATTACAAACTACCTATTGTGAAGTACCAAAATCTAGTATACTTATTTTCTATCATTTCGCATATCCGCTCCTCCCGGCTCCACGTTAGTGAACATATCGTATATGGCTATTGGGTTTTTAGACAAGTTCAGTTTTATGGCTAAAATTTATATCTAGCTAAATGAGATATTAGGATACATCTGACAGCACGGGTTGATGTGAAGTGAGAAATGAAGAAAAATAATACGTCAGAGATCCCATATTGGTTGGGGAGGAGAATGAAGCATTTTTTATAAGAGTGTGGAAATCTCTTCCCAGCAGACGCGTTTTAAAAGCCTTGAGGGGAACTTGAAAGGAAAAGCCTAAAGAGGACAATATCTACTAACGGTGGGCTTGGGTCATTACAAATGGTATCAGAGCCAAACACTGGGCGATGTGCCTACGAGGAGGTTAACCCTGAAGGGAGTGAACACGAGGCGGTGTGCCAACAAGAACGGGAGATCCCACATCGATTGGAGAAGGGAATGAGTGTCAGCGAGGATGCTGGGCCCCCGAAAGAGGGTGGATTGTGAGATCCCACATCAGTTGGAGAGGAGACGAAGCATTCTTTATAAGGTTGTGGAAACCTCTCCATAGGCGATGTGTTGGCAAGGAAGCTAAGCTCCGAAGGGGAGTGGACACGAGGCAATATGCCAACAAGGACGTTGGGCCCCGAAGGAGGGTGGATTGAGGGATTCCACATCGATTGGAGAATGAATCGAGTGCTAGCAAGGACGCTGGGCCCCAAAAGAGGGTGACCTGTGAGATCCCACATCGGTTGGGGAGGAGAACGAGGCATTTTTTATAAGGGTGTGGAAACCTCTCCCTGGGCGATGTGCCAGGGGGAGGCTAAGCCCCAAAGGCAGGTGGACACGAGGCGGTGTGCCAGCAAGGACGCTAGGCCCCGAAGAAGGGGTGGATTGGGGGGTCCTACATCGATTGGAGAAGGGAACGAGTACCAAAGAGGACATTGGGCCTTGAAGGAGGGTGAATTGTGAGATCTCACATCGATTGGGGAGGAGGACGAAGCATTCTTCATAAAAGTGTGGAAACCTCTCCCTAGCAGATGCGTTTTAAAAACCTCAAGGGGAAGCCTGAAAAAGAGCCCAAAGAGGACAATATTTACTAGCGGTGGGCTTGGGCCGTTACAACAAATGGTATCATAGCCAGACATCGGACAATGTGCCAGCAAAGAGGCTAAGCTCCGAAGGGGGGGTGGACACAAGGTGGTGTACCAGCAAGGACGCTGAGCCCCGAAGAAGGGTGGATTGGGGGTCCCACATCGATTGGAGAGGGAACGAGTGCCATCGAGAACGCTGAGCCTTGAAGGCGGGTGGATTGTGAGATCCCACATCGGTTGGGGAGGAGAACAAAGCATTCTTTATAAAGGTGTGGAAAACTCTCCCTAGCATACCCGTTTTAAAAACCTTGAGGAGAAGCTTGAAAGGGAAAACCCAAAGAGAACAATATTTGCTAGGAGTGTGCTAGGGCCGCTACTATACGTTTATGTGAGTCATACCATTTGGAAACGGTTGAAGAAGTGCCAAATGATTAAGAGTTAATGATCCAACTTCCTAAGACATGTTTTTCCATTCGCTTCACAGCAGAGTCGATTAAGTTACTTGGCACAGACTTTCATTTCGCTCACCAATTACCATCCAAAACACAATGAATTTACTATAAAGCAAAGAGCAAAAGCATAACCAATAAATCAAAAAGCATTTACAACAACTGACCAAGTCAATATCAGGGCCTAGCATCTTTCTTGCTTTCTCTTCATTTCTAACCTGAAAGAGGTTTCATGAACAACAAAGAACGTGAAAATCTGTTTAAAACAAGAAAAAAAGAAAGAACTCATCACTACTTTTCTATCTCTTCTCAAAAGTTCAACAAATAACAAGGCTAATAACATACCAAAGCTCGAACAGGCAACCCTTTTTTCCTCAAGATATCAACAACCCTTCTACCAACACCACCCGTTGCTCCAGCTACAAGAATGAATCCAGAAGTTTCCATTTCTTCAACAGGTTTGTTCGTAGATGGACCCGACAATTTAGCAATCAGAGACTCAAAAAACTTCACCATTAACGAACAAACATTCAGTCAATCGATCAATTCAACAAAACCCATAACATTAAGAAACTAATCCAACCTTAGCAGGAGATGGAGGTCCGTTGAAATAGTACAACGTTCTCAAAAACCTACCAAAATCCCAAGCCTCCGAAGAAATGGGTTTGGGTGACAGTCTCACAGAGCAGGATTTTGAGATGTTTAAATGGATCAAAGAGTGATTTCCGCCGAAAACTTGGAGGAACGGATTAGAAATTATAGATGGTACCAAGAACTTCCTTCGACCAATGGGCGATGGTGATGTTGTAGTACTCTGCAAAAGGGCAAATCAAGATGGATTTAGAGAATAATCGACATGGGTATATCAGATTAAAGATTGATATCAATTTCTTCAAATGTGATCACCTTTAGAACGATGGAAGACGAAGATTGAGATGAGAATTGGAGGCAAACACAGCCCATTTCCATTCTTCAAGTGAGATAGAAACAAGGGAAAGTTTGAGAAATATCGATTCATATTCTGTTCTCTTTTTATGATAATTTTCGAATTAGAAACAAATATAGACCACACAGTCGTTAGAAGCCTTCCCTCGCTTTCTGGAAGAGCAGAAAAAATTATGGATTAAGCGGCTTCTAATTAAAAATTAAGTTTAATTAGATTCATTAATGGATGTGTGCAAAAAAGAAATCATGCGTTTGCCGGGAGTCGAACCCGGGTCTATTGCTTGGAAGGCAATTATCCTAACCGTTGGACTACAAACGCTAGTATATGCACAGTTATCAATAACTAATTAATAATTAATTTTAATTATTTTAATTAATGGTTATGGGCCAAAAAGGAAAAAAACATGCGTTTGCCGGGAGTCGAACCCGGATCTATTGCTTGGAAGGCAATTATCCTAACCGTTGGACTACAAACGCTGGTATATACACAGTTATCAATAACCAATTAATAATTATGTTTAATTATTTTAATTAATGCTTATGGGCCAAAAAGGAAACAAATATGCGTTTGCCGGGAGTCGAACCCGGGTCTATTGCTTGGAAGGCAATTATCCTAACCGTTGGACTACAAACGCTAGTATATGCACAGTTATCAATAACTAATTAATAATTAATTTTAATTATTTTAATTAATGGTTATGGGCCAAAAAGGAAAAAAACATGCGTTTGCCGGGAGTCGAACCCGGATCTATTGCTTGGAAGGCAATTATCCTAACCGTTGGACTACAAACGCTGGTATATACACAGTTATCAATAACCAATTAATAATTATGTTTAATTATTTTAATTAATGCTTATGGGCCAAAAAGGAAACAAATATGCGTTTGCCGGGAGTCGAACCCGGGTCTATTGCTTGGAAGGCAATTATCCTAACCGTTGGACTACAAACGCTGATATGTAAATGGTTATCATTTTAAAAATTAATTTTAATTAAATATAACCCGGGTCTATTGCTTGGTAAAGCCGCTGGTATGAATTGTGGCTTCTATTTAAAAATTAAGTTTAATTAGATTAATTAATGGATGTGTGCCTAAAAACAGGAAAAATATGCGTTTGCCGGGAGTCGAACCCGGGTCTATTGCTTGGAAGGCAATTATCCTAACCGTTGGACTACAAACGCTGGTTTGTACACACTTATCAATAAATATTAATAATGGCAAGGATACCTTTTCCAGCGTATTAATGTTAGAAACAGTGAATGTGAGACTTCAACGTAACAACCCTAGATGTATACTTAACCTAATGTCGCTATTGTATACATATCATAGACATTTTATGTGGAAATACTTCATTTAAAACTTTATCATAAAAACATAGTCATGGACTTGCATATTTTCTAGAAGATCTTTAAATAAAACAACAAAAATTGAAAGACATAAAGTAAAAATGTCATATACTAATCGAGTCGTTGGCGCGTGTGCAACTGCTGGTTGTAGGTGCGACACGTGGCACAATGAGACACTGACGCATGTGTAGGTCATACCTAGGTCAAGGCGCAGGTCGCGGCCCCTAAGGTTGGGCTAAGTTTACGAGCCTTAGGTTTGGACCACTACAGGTTTTGGGCACGACGATTGGTTGCCAGCGGGTCGTGGGTTATGGTCGAGGGTACTGGTCTAGGCTGTTGCGGTGTTGGGCCGAGTCTTGATTTTGAGTCGTGGATTAAGAGGTTATGTATTGGATAAGCGGTTGGGTACCCAATCCGGGATCTAACTCAGGAGGTCATCTTCTTCACCCGAATTCCTCACGATTTTTCGATGACTTTTTCTCTCTTCCCCTTTTTTGGTGCAAGTTATTTTTTTTTTATTATTATTATTTTTTTTTGCCATTACACTGAAGCTCTCGAGCAACATCTCCTTAATTGAGGCTCGAACAACATCTCCTTAATTGAGGCTCTAATATATGATAAATATTTAGTTACTTCTAATTTTTGAGGTAAAATTGGAAAGTTTTGAGTAAATAAATACACCTACCAAATATGAAAAAAAAATATAAATAAATAAAAGTAAAACTAAATGTTAGTTTATTTTTGAAAGTATAAAAAAAAATGTTTTTAATTAAAATTTAAAATTATAAAATAGAATAAATATTAGAAATTGAAAATTGAAAATAAGATTTATAATTTTACCAAAAAATAATATAATTTAAAAATCTTCCCTATCCTTCTATCACTATCACATGTCCCCAAATCCTCCAAACATTACTCTTTTCCCCCTACTCTCTACTTTACGTTAATTAAATCAAATGCCCCACGTCTCAATGGTTACGTGTTATTCAAGCAAAAAAGAAGTCTAAACTAACGTACGGTTAAATGTGAAGATGAGCTGGTCGAGTTGTGGACATGTGCTTAGAGCCCGTATTGGTATGTTATTATGACTAACACATTTCGATACATAAGTCAATGAATTCAGGTTAATTCGTATCGAGTCTAAGAAAAATTTGTGAAGTTAGAGTATTCATAGTATGTAACAGCTCAACCCACCTTAGCAGATATTACCCTTTCCGGGCTTTCCCTTTTGAACTTCCTCTCAATGTTTTAGTAGATATTGTCCTCTTTGGGCTTTTCCGAGCTTCCCTTTAAGGTTTTTAAAACGATATACTACGGAGAGGTTTCCACACTTTTATAAATGTTTTGTTCTCCTCCCGAACTGATGTGGGATCTCACATAAAACGCCTAAGCCCACCTCTAGCAGATATTGTCCATTTTAGGTTTTCCCTCTCGAGCTAGAGAGAGGTTTTCACACCCTTATAATGCTTTGTTCTCCTCCCCAACCGATGTGGGATCTCCAAAACGCCAAAGCTTACCACTAGCAATCCTCTTTGGCCTTTCCCTTGTGGGCTTCCCCTCAAGATTTTAAAACGCATCTAGTAGGGAGAGGTTTCCGCACCCTTATAAAGAATGTTTCATTCCCCTCTTCAATCGACGTGAGATCCCACAATACACCTCCTTTCGAGGCTCAGCGTCCTCACTAACACTTGTTCCTCTCTCCAAATGGTGTGGAATCTCACATAGAGAGTTCCCGAAAACCATTCTATATACCGGACACAACATTACCAACATAAAATTTCACCAATGGTTGACACATAGGTCAGCTCGACGCTCAACCAGGTGCTAAATAGCATGTCATGTTAAAGATGAGGAGCTCGACTATTCCACCCTTCTTCGACTCGTTTGATTGGTGCAAATATCGTTAAAAATTTGACTAACTATATAGAAAAACTATACCGATCAATTAATTTTTATAAATTTTGAATTTGTCGAGACCTAGAGCTCGAGATCATTAAAAAAAAAAAAAAACAAAACATCCCCACTTAAAAGTAGTCAAGAACTTTGACACATTTTGTTCATCTCCAAGCTCTCTCTTCATGGCTGCTTCAACCAACAAAACCCTATTGCTCATCTTCTTCCTTCTTCTTCTTCTTCTTCTTCTTCTTCTTCTTCACAACAACAACCTCTTCTTCGCCGCCCTCCCCAAAGGCCACACGCCGCCGTCGTCTCCCAGCCAGAAAGCCCATGCCATCCACTCCGACCAGACGCTCCTCCGTGGCCGCCGCCTCATCGCCGCCGCACATCCCCGACATTATTATTTTTATTACGACAGCGATCGTATTCTCCGCTCCGTCCCCAGCCCCGGTGTCGGCCATTAACAGCTTCCACAGTACACAAACCCAATCATTATTTCATATTTTGTAATTTTTTTTCTTCTTTTTCTTTCATCAAATTTTGGGAATTGGATTTTGTGTTATGATTAGGGTTATCAGTGTGTAGAAAAAAAGAGACCCTTTTAGTTTTGATCATTCAATTTAATTATAATTTTTGTTCCATCTAAATTAATTCTAATATTTAGAACGATAAAAATCAAGACGAGCAGGTTCTATGTAATAATTACGATCCGTATCCTTAGTCTATTTAACTCTTAATACGTGATTAAGATAGGTGAATTATTTTGAATCCATCCCCTCGAGGAACACGACGTAATAATTTTTCATCATATGATTTGAGCACCATGACAACTCAAATCCACTATTAGCAGATATTGTTCGTTTTGGTTCGTTACATATTGTCGTCAGCCTCACGATTTTAAAACATGTCTATTGAGAAGAGGTTTTCAAACCCTTATCAGGAATATTTCTTTCTCCTCTCCAACCCACGTGAGATCTCACAATCCATCCCACTTGGGGGACTGTTGCTACATCGTCCAATGTCTGGCTCTAATACTATTTGTAACAGCTTAGGCCGCCGCTAGCAGATATTGTCTGTTATGTATCGTTGTTAGTCTCACGACTTTAAAACATGTCTACTGAGAAGAGGTTTTCAAACCCTTATAAGAAATGTTTCGTTCTCCCCTCCAACCGATGTGGGATCTCACAATCCATCCCACTTGGAGGACTGTTGTCACACCGCCCAATGTTTGGCTCTGATACTATTTGTAACAGCTCGGGCTGTCGCTAGCAGATATTGTCTGTTTTGGTCTGTTACATATCGTCGTTAGCCTCACAACTTTAAAACGTGTCTACTAGGAAGAGGTTTTCAAACCTGTAGAAGAAATGTTTCGTTCTCCTCTCAAACCAATGTGGGATCTCACAATCCATCCCACTTAAGGGACTGTTGCTACACCACCCAGTGTCGGCTCTGATACTATTTGTAACAATTCGGGCCGCTGCTAGCAGATATTGTCTGTTTTGACTCGTTACGTATCGTCGTAGTTAAATAATTTAATTTTAATTTTAATTTAGTTTTATAAAATTTGAAGCTTAATACTTAATAAATAAAAAATATCTTATTTTCTTTGTTTCATTCTCATTCCATTAATTAATTGGATCCCCACTAGACTCCTCCTATAAAGTAATTAAAATTGCGTCAATTACACACCATGTTGACTTATTTAACAAGCAATTAATATTTATCCCTTTTTTTTATTTATTTATTTTATTTACAATATTACAAAAAATTTGAATATCTCTACATTAATTAGATGAATTTCTCGAGTTTTAATTATTTAATTGATAATTTTATAGCTCGAGTATATATAGCTTAGTAGTAATTAGAAATGTCCACAAGAGTGGGACAGACGTATTAC